ACGAACCGTCTTTAGCTTCCACTTTGCAGTCGCTTTCCCATCGCCGGGAAGTTGCTTCGTTATCTCTTTACTATCGTTACGATTTTGGTTTCTGCTCTTCCGAACTCGCTTCAGCGGTTCCCATTACATTGACTTTCTCCCGTCCATCTCATTCCCAGACGACCAGTCAACCTTACCAGGTTTCTGTCCCTAGATGTCGGACTATAAACTTTCAATCTTCTGTTTCCCGAGGACTGCGAAATTGTGGAACACATTTCCCATTACCGTGTTTCCTAGCTCTCATANTCGAAAGCAGGATTAACAAATTGGTTCTTACTTGAATGTCCCCCCGCCCGCCCAACCCCTTATAGCATATCATTGATTATGGGGTTTACCCCTTTTCCTATAAATCACTTCGTGTGTAATAAAAAAAATAACCTCTGGTGAGGAAGCCCATTCGGAGATGTTTGTCCACAAAAAAAGAGAAAGAAAACTCAACATCTGGGGATGTAACCGGATCCGTAAACAACTGGCAGATCACCTAGGGGAGTTGGTTAAAATCCTGATTCCAAACCAACACATACACATGCCATCCAGGCAGTAGTGGCAGTAGTCACTGGCACGAACGGACAAGGAGGTAAATTGGTAATCTTGGACTTTTGACTCCGTAGAAAACGGCGTATGATCCGATGAACTGGATATTGGACACTCCAAAGGACTGCGATTTTCACACACCGCCTCGCTGCCTTAGGATTCGGGCTTTGACTATCCGAATGCTCCGGGTCTGAATTCCTCAAGAAAATTCACCTGCCCTGGTTCGGCAGTATCACGGCCACAAGAAATTCATGGGACTTTTGTTTCTTTTCATAAAGATCATTGTACTGTGGTTTCTTTGGTACACAGTCTGGACTCAGATATCAGTGAAATATACATATATAAATACATATCAGTAGGGAACTCCCATCTGCGAACTTCTTTCGAAGAGGGTATTTTCAGTAAAGTAAGAAAACAAAGAGCCAGTAACAGGAACTTTAACCGAGTTGAAGAACCACAAACAAAGCGCTACAAACCCTAATCCTAGGCCTCTCACGAACTAATTCCAGGAAATCCTGGTCACGACAGGCACCGGCGCCACTGCGCACCCTGAATGACTGAATCAACTTCAAAGAATGAATCATCCGGCCAGTTGAAAACCAGCCCAACATAGAGCTACGAGGAGTATGAGGCACCCGGTTGGAGAAGCACCTTTGGGGCATCCTCCGTTCTTTGATCTCGACCAGGTACCCAGCTCTCACCTGTGGTTCCAATAAGTTGTTTGGATGCAACAGCGGCCACACCCCGTTAAACCACTCAACAGGCGAGCCAAACCAGGTTGAGGGTAATCGGAAGATCAACTCCCGGCGAGTCGGTGTCTAACGTACGTGTTGGACGGACGAAGTCGCTTTCACGGTCAACGAAATGACTCCGTACTCAACGGGAATGCATAGATCCCTGTCCATTTAGAAAACGTCAATAGCGTATGAGCTCCCCCAGAAGACCACCGGCAATCATGTGCTACCTTTCTGCTGCCTTGCAGTTAGCACTGGGATGTGCAAAAGCTAGAAACGATACCTCGATTCAAAGCCGGGAGACGCAGGGGACGTTTCTCGTACCTAACTTCCAAGAAATTTCCATGGATATTCCCTCGATATCCATGAAGCTGGCTTATCCTCTCCTAGGAGCCAGCCGCCGTAAAGTAAAGTAAATACACTTTCTAGACACCGCATGACCGTGCTTTCTTTGACAGTGTGCACCCAGGAGGGTGAGAAGAAATAATTGATAATAACGGTAACAACACTACCACTTCAAGCGAAAGAAAGTTCTACATCTAAGAGAAAGCTATTTCGAAACCGGGAGAATATCATAGTTACCACGATCTGTTTCCATTTACATAATGGGGTTTGTTTATTCTAATCACTATAGCCTCTGCTGTCGATAACAATCGAACTCCCTTCCAGCTACTTGGACCGACCCCCCGCAATTGAATAGATTGGATGGATTGGAACGATTCAAGCACACCCATAGTGTGATTCTTCTCAGCCTAATCCGGTGTACCGCCAATCGTGCAAGAAGACTTTGTTCTACTGATGATAAATTGGCAACAGTTCAGTCAACGTTTCTAATAAATGGATACCCAAAGGAACTTATCGATCGTTGTATTAGAGTCTCCATTGCCAAACCAAGGGACCCAACAGTGGAAAAAGAAAGAAGGTTTACATTTCATTGCCTTGCAAACGTGACACTCTTGCGAGTACGATGAGCAAACGATCGAGGAGTGTAGTAGAGAGACTACTTATTTCTCAACGGAATTGCGCATTTTGTACGCTTCCAAATCAGTTTTCCCATTACAGATGAAGGACAGGCTACCGACGGAGACAATCTCTTCTTAGGACTACCGGTTTACTTGTTCCTGTGTCGCAAATTACGTGGTTCGCGCCACCAGACACTCGACCGATCGAATGAAAGAATAACACCTAACTTGGTGCAGTCGGGGACCGATAAGATCAGGTGCGAGTGTGGATGCCATACATCTGGCCGAGAAGAATTACACTATGGGTGTGCTTGAATCGTTCCAATCCATCCAATCTATTCAATTGCGAGGGGTCGGTCCAAGTAGATGGAAGGAAGTTCGATTGTTATCGACAGCAGAGGCTATAGTGATTAGAATAGACAAACTCTACTATGTGCACATAAACAGTTCATGAAATCCCTTACTATCTCGTGGACATATATATCCGAAGTGCCCCCAACTAATATTTCAACCAAAATTTGTGTTATATGACAAAGATTTGATTTTCGATTGATCCAAACAACAAACGATTTTTAAAAGCAACCGAATGTAGAACACCACGTCACTATGGTAGAATTACCATCATCCTGGAAGCCGGGAGTACAACTACTACTACGGTCGCTCAATAATGCGACTTCTTTGTTTGGTTTTGGTTTTACCTCATTCAATTGAATGCAGAATGATACAATTTTCAGGAAGCGGGTGGGTGGCCAGTCCAAGGGTTGCCATAGCTGACATAGCAAAAAATTGGGTAAAATGACACGATGGTGATGCGATTCGAATACACATCCAACCGGTCGATAAGTTTATGAACTTGACCGCTTGATCAGCATCACCACTGCAGCCCGTTCTCTGACTGTCTTCGTTTGGACAGAATAGGTATTCGAAAAAAAATTGCTAGTGATTTGGACTATTTCGTTATAATAAAAATGGAAAACACTCGAAATCATGTATTGCATGAACATGAAATCTATTACATATCGAAGATCGGAACTCTGGTGCAGCTAACCAACAGTGATGATACTGAGCTAGACTATGTGCAAATCTGTGCAAATCGTAGTCTGTGATGCTTATCCTTTTCGGATGTGCAAGCAATGGCTATGTAGTGTGGGGCATTCAATCGCATGCACTTTTGTTTACCAGTGGTTTTTTTGTTAAAGTTTTCTTTTTGTTCGCTGGTTACTTTCCCCGCCCTACTGAAAAAAGATTTCATTCGTATTCACGGTGGTTCGACAATTATCAACCACGTTTCTACTATTTCCATAAACACTAACCAGAAAAGAGTGTGATTTCAATACAAATTGGTGGGAATTTTGCCCCAGTCATCTGCTCAGTACCAACTTATCTGCCTATCGTGCCCACGCTACGTACAATCCAATTGTTTTATCCTCCCGCGTAAACATTTATCGTAATTCAACAGTACTCTATTTGACTCGCATTTAAACCGACAAGAACAAGGTCCTAATCTTACATCTGGAAATATTATCTTGTGTTTACATTTTTCCCCATTGTCTCGGTGAACGCACGGTGGTGTGAAACGTAGGCACACACAATTGCTTGCACACACAAGTTGTTACAATACAACACAACAGAAGACAATTAATCTCACGTCTATCCATTCGGGCCATAGAATGATCGCCAATGGAAGACCCACAGTTTACCATTCCCAGTTTCCACCAGGAAACAGTGGACTATAGCCACTCTTGGGTTTTATATCTTTCAGTGGTAATCACACAGATATTTGTAATAGGAAATAGTCTCACTGAGGTAAGTCAAAAAGCATACGTCAGAATAGACTGGGACGTACGCCGTATTCAAACGGGAATTAAAAACAAAACAAAACGCAAAAATATGTGTTGAAATCGGCTCAAAACTACTTGTAAACAAGTGGGACCTTATGTTTTGCACCACTCCAAGCGCCAAAACGTAAGTTATCAGTTTTCATGATTAAACAGTAGGTCTTCGTGACTGACTCCGGGGTTTACCTTGTCTGCTCTAAATGTAATAAGTTCAGTTTTTACAATCATTAACCATGCACTTTCGTGCGCCGGTTTGGGTGGCTGTCTTTTGGTGTCTATGTAATAAAATAAAGTGATTCTCACTAGTTGCTAATCGATTTCCATTGGGACGAAGCGAACAGGGTCAAGTGATTGTGTGTGTGTGTGAGAGAGAGAGAGAGACGGGACCAAACGTGCAAACATGTATGTCTACTGGACAGTAAACATATGTCACCTGAACTGATGACGCGAAGTTTGACAACACAATAGTTTCCAAGACTGGAGAAATATTAAGATGAAGTTGAGGATCAGTGACACTGAACTGGACATGTGAGAGAAGTGAAACTGCATTTAATGACCGAACATTGTGTGCATCTCTAAAAGGAACAGACCAACTTACCGATAAGGCGCCCAAACGGATTTTCAGGTCGCCAACCAACTCTGTGATCTGCTGTGATTCGGCTTCCACATCAGTACTCTCCTTTGCCAATTCTATCAGGAAAATGAAATGGTAACGGGAATTTAATATGGACACATGGTTATCACGGGAAAATTGGTTGTCTAAGGTGAACACCACATGTGTGGTTCCGGCAATGCATCAAGTTGGGATTTTGACCACTTGTGGTGGCCATATCCGAAACGGACCGGTATCACGATTAAACCACTACTACAAATGAATTAACTAGGTGCCATACAATTCAATCTTCTCAATCTCTTTGTAGCAAAAGGGAGACAGATTTGTATTTCGATTTGGGAAAATCATCGAGACCAACTATTGAACAGCAAGGGGTAGAATAAAGTGATCCACGGTCAGCATCTACCGATAAGTCCACGACCATACGGAAAACGAATGAGGATCGGGTACCGCAAACTGGAACAGGTCATTTTCGGGCTCAATGAAAATCACGAAAAATCATCTCATGGACAGGTGAAGTGAAACCAATGGATACAAAGCGAAAAAATCAATAAGATGATATTCATTACTGACAGGCAGCATGGAGTTGCAGAATAGCGACGAACTAAGCAAAACAACTGCAGGACTGACGGCCAACTATGAATTCGTTTTTCGGAGGACAATCGTTCATAAATGATGAATGGATAATAGAAAACGCTCCAATACAGTACAACGAAGAGCAAATTGATATCACCACGATGATTAGAAATCGCGGGCAGGGCACAACGACATCATTCTAATTAGAGCTTATTCAACTTGTCACGTGATATCATTTATTTGTCAACTGGTTCGTTCATAGCCTTTCGATCAACGGACCATATGAACACAAACATGGGCGAAACCTGTGGATTACGGTACAGGCACAAAACAAATCGGCTACAGATCAGCTGATCACACTAGTGTTTGTGTGTATCCATGAGATTAAAACATACGAAAAGCTGTTATTGGCGTCCAATACTTGAGTAGCGAGTGTGAAATTACTGTTTGCATACGAGATGTGGAAAATCCCAAACGAGAGCACAGTTTCAGTTTGTACAACTTTCGAAGGGCGGTTTTGGTTGCTATCTTTTGGTTAT